AAATACTGTGCCACATCTCTAAAAAGCCCTGTGCATCCTCTATATCTAGGCCGTTAAAAGTAAGAGGGTGATATTTCTTGAACCTCTCAAGTCTAAGTTGCTCCTCCTCAGATACCACTGCCCTAACCTCGGGCTAAACCAGAACAATAGGCTATGCTGGCATAACCTTTGGGACTTGATCAACATGGACTCGCTGCTCTAGAGTACGGGCCGTGGGAGGTTGAGCTCCTCCCCTAGCCTGGGATGTGGCTGGGGCAAGCGAAATCAACCCCGCCTGAGCTAGAGTAACAAATATGCTCAATAACTGTGTGAGGGTCTACTAAAGTATAGGGGTGGCAACAGGCGCCTCGGGTGCCTGCCCCTCCCAACTGGAGCTATAGGTGCCTCGTCTGGCGCAGCTCGTGCAGGTGCTCTAGCTTCACCATGTGCCCCTTCTCAGCCTCTGCCCCGACCCTGGCCTCTCGTGGCTTTAGCAGGGGGCGCGGGTGTCTGACCGCCTGATCCAGCAGTGCATGTCCCCATCATTTGTGAGAGAATAGAAAGACAAAGATTCAGAAATTCGAAGTCAACAAATTCGCACGATAAGGAATCAAAGAAGTAAAGTTTCCTAACATTTTCGTAGCCTCTCAAAGATAAGTACAAACGTCTCCTTACCGATCTGCAAGACTCTACTAAACCTACTTATGACTCGTAACACCTATGAACCTTGAGCTCTACTACTAACTTTTCACGACCCCAATCTCCCACCGTAGGATGTCGTGATGAAACCTAGTCTCTAAGACTAGGTAACCCTAACATGCATGGAGAAATAACGAAAATAACAATAGAACTTCAAATTTAAATCAATTAGCTATCATAAAAGAACTCAACAATACCGCTAATAATAACTTCCAAAATCTGGTGAAACCGAGTCGTAAGCTCAACACGAATATATTATAAAATCCCTAATACATCACTACCTAAATAAGAGTAAGCAGTAGAAAAACGAGGACAGAGGGTGACTCCAAGGCCTACGGACGCCAAGCAGGTATACCTTGAAGTCTTCGAGATGTATAGCCAATCACTGATGCCTAACCTGATGTGAGGTACCCGGATCTGAACAAAAAGAAATGGAGAAGCGTAGTATGAGTATACCACAACGGTACCCAATAAGTACCAAGCCTAACCTCGGTAGAGTAGTGACGAGGCCAGGTCAAGACAGCTACTAGGATAAGAAAATGAAGTTGAACAAGTATAGTACAGTCTAATAAAAGAAACAAGGAAAGTGATGCTATAAAGAAATACAACAAGATAAGCTGCAACTGAAATCAAATCAATAAAGGCAACAACGAAGTAACACATAGTTAGAACCTCAAGAAAACAATGCGGACAAATACAAGTGAGGTAAATGAGAGATAACAACAAGAATCACAACCAAGGTACCACCTCGTAATCTCATTTCACAATCACAATCACAATCTTTCCTTATATCACCGCGGGAGCCTTACATTTAGTTTTGAAAATTATTTTTTTCGAAATAGCTACCCGTGTTTTAGCCTACCTTATCACACTGTGTGGCTTCAAGTAATTCCCCTACTAGCAACACGCGTATCAAGCCCACCTTATCTCACCGCATGCATGTCAATCCCTAGCCTTATACCACCGCATGCGTATCAATATCACAACATATCACAACTCACACCTCGAATGCCCAAATACCACAACTTGCCAAAAGAATTATCAATATCAATGTTTTCACAATAAATAGCACATGGCTCAACCATAATGTGTATTAGAGACCCAACAATAACAAAATAATGGTGAATACCTCAACAAGAATGATATCTCAACAATTAACAACTTCGTCTCAAGTGATAACAGCTTTTACAACTTTAACACCAAAAAATCAACAAGAAGATATTCCAAGAAATGACAACTTCAAGTAAGGTAACTCAACAATTAAATAATTAACAAGCCAATAAGGAAAAATTAACTTCAACTAAGCATGTAAGGGCAATTAACAATTAAGAGATGGAATAAGTGTTAACAATGTCAAATAAAACATGTAAGGATGGATCAACACGTGTAAGGGTAGATTAACAATGAAAGATATAACATGTTACGCCAATTCGATTAAAGGCATGAAAAGAGTCTAAATAGCCTAAACCAGCCAATTACCATATAAAACCCGTGTACCCACTTGTCACCTTGCGTACACAGCTTTCAAATATCACAATATAGCATAATCAACCCAAATCCTAAGGGGTAGTTCCCCCGCACAAAGTTAGGCAAGATACTTATCTCAAACAAGCTAACTCAATCCACTAGTAAGCCTTTTCCGTGAATATCCAACTCCTAAAGGCTCGAATCTAGCCAATATAACTTAATACCATAAATACAAACCATAGGAAACTATTTCAGATAATAAAACTGCAATCTTTAAAGAAAATCAAAACGGTCAACTCAAAAAGCCAACCCTGGGCCCGCATCTCGAAATCCGGCCAAATTTATAAAATTCGAACACCCATTCAATAACAAGTCCAACCATACTAAAATTATCTAATTGCGACCTCAAATCGATCTTCCAATCCACAATTTATGGTTTAGGAAGTTTTCACAAAATTTCACAATTTTTCTAACTTAAAAACTAATTAAATGATAAAAATATTGATGGATTTATGTAAAATAATCAAATCCGAGTAAAAAAATACTTACCCCGATCAACTCCTTGAAAATTCCTTTCAAACTCGCCCGAAATCAAGGTCTATATCTCAAAAGATGAAAAATAACTCCAACCCTCAATTTGCCCCTTTTTCTGCCAAATAATTCCGCATCTGCGGCTCTGCACCTGCGAAAAATCCATCGCAGGTGCGGCTTTTCAGCCAATATCGCTTCTACGGACCATTAAGCGCATATGCGCTTGCACTTCTGCGGAAGGAAGTTGCTTCTGCACGTCCGGTTCTGCGGAGAAAGGACCGCACCGGCGGTCACAGCTCTCCTAGCCCAAACTTGCTTTTGCGGTTCACATGCCGCTTCTGCGGTGCCGCACATACAACCCAAAGTGCGAAGGTGCGATTGCACCAGTACCTCAACTCGACAGAAATTCCTCCAAGTCCAAAATGATTCTGAATTCAATTTGAATCACATGTGGGGCCCCCAGGACCCCGTCCAAACATACCATCAAGTCCCGTATCACATAACGGAACTAGTCGAGGCCTAAAATCACATCAAACAACATCCAATCTATGAATCACATCCCATTTCAAACCTATTGAATCCATGAACATTCAGATTCCAAAACTAACGCTGATTCATACCAAACCAACTTCGATTGACCTCAAATTTTGCACACAAGTCATAAATGATATAACAGACCTATTCCAACTTCCGAAATAGGAATCTGACCCCGATATCAATAAAACCAACTTTCGATCAAATATCTGAATCTTCCAAACCTTCAACATTTTAACTTTCGTCAATTCAAGCCAAAGCAACCTACAGACCTCCAAATAAATATCTGTACATACGCCTAAATCCAAATTCACCACAAGAAACTATCGGAACCATCAAAACTCTATTATGAAGTCGTATACACAAAAATCAAACTCTGGTCAACTCTTCCAACTTAAGCTTTTAACTTTGGGACTAAGTGACCCAATTCATTCCGAAACTCACCCAAAACCAAACCAACTATCCTGGCGAGTCATATAACCACAATATAATATAGAGGAGGCAATAAATAGGAGAACGAGGCGAAAATACTCAAAACGATCGGTCGGATCGTTATATTCTATGATCGGCTTGCCTAGCAAATGGATGCTAGGCGCCATCATGGCCCCATGATTGAGATTCCGGGTCGTGACACCAATGCCAGAGTTGATCAAATCGATTAGCTTAGTACCCGGAACCCCAAAATCCTGGATCCACCTATGAGTCCCCAAGTCCCAACTATTCAGAAAAGTTTATTCAACGAAATTCAGGAAAATATGTATAAGAAAAAAAAAACACCATATAAATATGGCTTTTGAGAAAAGAGCTTCTTAGAAAACGTTCTTAATAATAATACGAAAAACTGTTCGCTTGTATATTTTTCTTCTTGTGATTCACTTGTTTAAATTAATGTGTTTGATGTGTATTTTATTAATATGATCTTACTATAGTAATGTTTTATTAGTTTACGTTTTAAAATGTGGATACCACTTATCTAAAATTCTGTATATGGCCCTGCTTGTGGATTGGATATGCATGAAAAATATTGAGCATTATTATCCAACCTTCACACATAAAAATGTCCAAGATAGTCACCAACGATAATTTTGAAATTTGGTTTACTGGTCTTTGTAAGATATGAAAAGCTTTCCTAAAACCGCAGAAGGCTATATACATAAACAGTGGCAGGACAATAATTGAACAAAGGAACTATTTGTGCATACTTTTTAAGACCTAGTGGACGCCCAACATTGCAGTAAAACAAAGGAAAAGGAAAGATGATGGTATGTATGGTGTAGACAAGACTTAGTTATGCATGTGACATAAACAGTGGGAGGACAATAATTGAATAAAGGAACTATTTGTGCACACTTTTTAAGACCTAGTGGACGCCCAATATTGCAGTAAAACAAAGGAAAAGGAAAGATGATGGTATGTATGGTGTAGACAAGACGTAGTTATGCATGTGAAGTTATGAACACTTTGAAGTTAGGAGTCGCCTCCTAATTTTAGATAACGTTTTCATATTTTGATTGAATTGCAATAGCTGACATTTGACTTTAATATTCTCTTTGTTGATTTCTTTTCTTATTTGAAAAGAACATATATATCAAATTTTACATTACAAATTAAATTTTATTTTTCTAAAATTTCGTGTCCAATTAAATAGGTTTACCAAATTTAAAATCATTCTGACACTTACAGTTGCCCGATACAATTCCATCTTTTACAGTTTATCCTTTACAGCATACGACAACCTTAAAGTTTTTACCACATGATCATTTTATAGAGGACCTATGGTAGAAATAGAATTATATGAAGCAGACTACTATTTATTCAAAATCTGAGAAGACTGATGTTCCAATTAACGAACACAAGCAAGATTACATTAGAAAAGTAAAACATTAATTATTGGAAAATAAAGCTCCCAAGTAAGCATGAAACTGGAGAAAAAAGCAGGATAAATTAGAAAGTCTTCTTGAACATAACCCTGAAGGGAGTGTCACTGAGAGCCAAAAACCTGACTCCATCCTTAGTGTATATACCAACATCTTTGCAAATAACCTTGCAAATCTTGCACACACTTGGACAGAATAGGAACTTGTAATCCGTTCCAAGTTTCTCAATTTTAAACCAACTGCTCACAGTTTGAGGCCCTGGGTTTCCTTCAACTCCACCAGTCACTATGAAATATTGCTTCAACTTGTCATCATAGGTCCCAAGTTTCCAAATAGTTTCTCTTGCACAAATAGTTGGAGTATAAAACCTGACGTTAAGATCAGTTGAAAGACGAACAACACCTTTTTTGGCATCAAAAGGTGTGAAAACCACAGGCAAGCCTTGTTGGACCTCATCGGAATTTTGGATAATGTCCCTAGGACACGTATTGATTTGCTTAACGTTGGAAGGTAAGAGTCCGCCGCCTCTTCCTCGGATCACTGGAAGAACGAAATAGTTGGAACCAACTCGAACTTTGTCGCCATTGATGTCAAGAACTGGAGATGGCGATGAACCTGCTAAGAATCTTGAGGGATTGGGTATACATAGGGCTAAAGGGATAATTGAAAGAGAAAGTAGTAGAAGTAGGGTGTTCATTTTTCTTAATTCGTGGAAATTGAGATGTCTTACACTACACTGTGCAGTTGATATGAGTCTTCCTGGCAAGTGGATGCCAATTTATAGGTGATGATTTTTGCACGTGGGTGATCTCCAATCTCCATGCTCGTTTGTTTTTATGACATGTCTATAATTTAATACTTTTAATTTAAGTGAATTTATTTGACACGACTTATTAAATTTATCATATTAAATATGTTATAATATTTTGTGTTCTTAATATTTTGTAATTTATATGTTGAGTTATTAATATATATTTTAGCTTTCATACATGTAAGACCAATTCAAAGCTAAAATAGTTAATTGAATTCACGCCGCAATGTGATTTGCCACTTAAGTGCGCCAGAGGGACATGATGCGGCTTTCATGAAATACATCAAAAAAAGTAATCATTTTTGGAACGAAATGACTTCGTCAAAGGCCTTTACGCGTTTGAAAGATAGTGCATATTAGAACGACATTTTTGAATTCTGACCCTATAATGGTATTCATCTGTAGTGAGGTGGGATTCCGTGGGAATAGGATTTGAAAATTTGGTTTTTTTATGTGTTTGGGAAAGTATTTAAAAGGGAAAGGGTTTGAATTACCCCAAAATAAAGTAATTATGCCTTTCGTTTGATTTGGTATAAAAAATACCCTCATTATTACTGAGATAGCTTAATTATACCCCTCCCCACTAACTGTCTCCAACTAGGATATAAACTCACTTTAAAATATATTTTGCCTAGTCAGAATTCCACGTTGAAAATAATATTCACCATTCAAAAAGACCACTGAAAAAAGACGGAAAAGAACCATCAGTGACGATGACCGAAAAATTCTCCGGCGACCACCCTTCTCTCGTTCATCTCTTTCGGCAGCTTTTTGTTTTTTTCATTCAAGCTATCCAAAAATGGACATAATTCATAGTAGTAAAAGTAAAAAAGGTCCATCATTTATTAGATAATAAACTAAAACTGATTCAAAAAATTCTTAGACAATAACAAACAGATTAAAAAAAGAAATCCAACAATCTAAATCAACAAAGATAATCAGGAATCTTGATAGGAATAAATAACACACGCAATAACAATAAAACAACACCAGCAGAAGCTTATAAAACTATTAACACCCAGAGTTAAATCCAATCAGCACAATCCAACAACACTAAGCTAAGGACAACTTAAACATAAACCCAGAGGAGGTGTAACAGGTGAAATTTTCTTGCATTGGTTCAGTAACCGATGCGATGATCAGCGAATTGGGTGATCATGCCGGAAGTTGATGAGGTAGTGGTTACTGATTTGGGTGGCATTTTCCGGCAATGAACACTAGCGAAGTGGTGATGGAGGAGTAATATTTGTTCCTCTACTTTACACTGAAGATGCTATGGAGAACTTTTTATGTATTGTTCATTTTTTTAAACAAAATCCATTTACTTTAATAACTTTCAAGTCATCAACTTTACATTTGAAACAACACTTTGTATACGGTAAAATTGGTTCAACTAGACGAATAAAGAGATGCCACGTGGAGTTGAAGACGGGTAAGATGTGAGTCAGTAAATAGTCGATATCGGGTGCAAGCATGTGATCAGTGCTGGATGAATTCTGAAGACAGAGTAGCCGATGACAAAAATTCAAAGTATTGACATCGGGTAGCATTCAACGAGTAGCCGTTACAGAGAATATCTGCAGTTATAGCCAACCGTTATGCAGCCATCAATGAAGGTTTTATTCTAATTCAAGAAGAGCTTGATTTAGGGATCTTGTCTTCCTAAATAGGGCTAGAAATAGGAGAATTAACATCTATCGTAGAGAAAAAAACATTCTGTACAAAAAAGCTATAATCTGCTCTTATTCTATAGAATTGCTTTCTTTATTTTATTCTTAATTTTGTTCTTGCCACTACTACCGGAGAAGATAAACACTTAGCCAGACTTGTATTACCTTTAATTTTTTTTCATAATTTTATTTCTGTTCTTATTTATTTCGTATTTTTGGATCAAATCGATTCACTTGTCTATACACCATGTTACAAATTCAACTGTACAATTTTACGGGTAAATAGTTTGACGCCCACCATGGGGCATAGACAATTGTGTAATTGCTTTGATCCATTCATCTGATACTAGCAAATTTTGATTCCCTCCTTAGTAAAAGAAAAATCAGGTATGGCAGCTAATGATGTCAACAATGTCTACAACGTTGGAGCACATAATGAACAGGAATATGTGTTCCAACATGATGATTCAACCAGCGAAACCCGCAACGAATAAGATGAAGCAACCCCAGTTCACGAAGGCCAGTATCCTCGACATATGAGGGGACCAACTCCTGATGATGCGGATGATGAACACGTTGTTGAAACGGTCAAAATCTTGAGAGAACAACAAAAGACGATTATGGATCACCTCTCAAGGCAAGATCAGGTGATGACAGAATTGAAACAGGTGTTATCGAGTGCTTCCAATAATGCTAATGGAAGGGCTCTGATTCCTCCCAGTGTTTTTGCGAATCAAACGGTTCAAAGAACCGATAACGACACTCCAAGGGAGGAAATCGGTTTTGACGAGGCAAGAGGTACCAGTAGTGGATCTGGGAACAACAACTTAAATGACCTTTTCAAAATCGAGCTCATGAGATTTATGAGAGAAATGATGAGCGAAGGGACCAAAATGCTAAAGAGTTCCATGCTCGGATGGGTCAAATCCCGGAAGCTCCGTCAGTGTTAAAGGGACCAGATTCAAAGAAGTATACGCTGTCACGACCCAAAATCCACTATAGATCGTGATGGCGCCTAACACCACCGTCAGGTAAGCCAACGGTAATTTACCAATTTGATTGCTAATTTTATTACTTTCGAAATCACAAATTTTAATAAGAAAAGGAGATTTACACTTCCAAGTCACGGGAACATACAATATTTGTAATTTATAAAAGAAATGAAAGGCGATAATAATGTACGAAATCCTAAGCATCAATTAGTATAACCCTAAAACCCGGTGTCACAAGTGCATGAGCATTTTCTAAGGGAGTACAATAGTAATATAACATCTGTCCAGAATGTAAATAAGACATAATAAAATAAATAGTACGATGGTAACTCGGTGGACTGCGATGCATAGCCTGAATTGCAGCTCACATAAAGTCTTCTCAGCAGATGCGCCTACGCCCATGATGATCACCAAATGAACCTGTCAGATCCTGCACATTTAGTGCAGAAGTGCAGCATGGATACGTAAATCAATGCGTACCCAGTAAGTATCTAGTATAACCCCGGAGAAGTAGTTACGAGGGGTCGATATCGACACTTACTAGGACCAATAAAATAATATAATAATTCAGAACATATATAAAGTGCACAACGATAGTGGGGTAAATCTGTAAATTTTATAATCTTCCAAATATTTTTTTTAAAGTATAAATTTCTCGATCTTGTATTCAACCTTAATAGCTCAGGAAATTTCAAGTGTCAAAATCAAATAACTAAGGAATACCATAAAAATGTCGGGCATCAGTGGAAGGTTTATCTCGTGAATATTCGGACTACTAGCGATATAACACACGATTCTGCCGAGGTCGTTAGGCCCGATCCAGAATAATGTGTACACTGCCGAGGGTCAAGCGGCACGAACCATAGATGCATCTATTATACTGTCGAGGAATTCGGCCCGCTCCACAAGGAAGGAAGGAAGTTACCGAATTACAAGACACGTGTTTACAATACAGTATATGAGCATAAAACGAATATAATCTTTATCGTTTCTCAAATAACTCACCCACAACTCAAAGTGTTAAGGCTCAGCCTATTATACATATATTTATTTCTAAATCAAATTCAGTTATAACTTTGATTAGTTAAGCCAGCAGAACGAGTTCAAATAATTCAATTATTACATGATAAAGTCCTAAGTCTACCCGAACATAAATACGCTTTAGCTACGTACGTACTCTCGTCACCTCGTGCGTACGTAGCACCCACAACTAGTTGCACATAACAATAAATATCACCTAGGAGTAGTTTCCCCCTCACAAGGTTAGACAGGAGACTTACCTCGCTCTGAAGTTCCATAACCGGTTCCAAAGCCTCTACAGCACCTCAAACTGATGCCCTTCAATCCAAAACTAGTCAAACAATGTGCAAATCCATAAATATATACTATATTACCCATAATTAATCAATTTATAACAATTTCCAACTTTGTTCGAAAAGCCAATAAAAATCAACTTTCGGGCCCACGTGCCTTCTCAAAGATAAACTTTACCCACAATATTACAAACCCAAATATATGATTTATTTCCATATCCATGTTCAAAATCATGGTAAAAATCCAAAAATACGAATTTCTAGATTTTCCACTAAAATCCCAAATTTCTATAAATTCTCATGCTAAATCCATATATAAACCATGTATTTAACTCACAATGTGAAGAAATCACTTACCCCATAATAGATGATGAAGATGGCACTCCAAAATTGCTCCAAAATCGGCTCCCATGGACGAAATAAAGTGGAATTGAGCCAAACCCCCATTTTAAAATAACACACTGCCCAGCCCAGCCCAACCTTCGCACCTGCGGTCCATTAGCCGCTTTTGTGGCTCCGCACCTGCGGAAATTCTCATCGCAGGTGCGGTTCCCACTAAGCACAACCAAGTTCGCTTCTGTGGACAGAACGTCGCACCTGCGCCGTCGCTTTTGCGACTACTCCTCCACTTCTGCAAAAAATCCCCCAACACGAAGCCTCGCACCTGCGGAAATATTCCCCGCTTTTGCGGCATCGCATGTGCGAGATTCTTCCGCTCCTGCGCCTTCACCCGCTTCTGCGCCCATGGTTTCGCTTCTATGCTTGCGCAGATACGGCCAAAGCTCTGCACCTACGGCCCTTCTCCTGGCTGGCTTTCTCCGCTTCTGCGACGACCCCTATCGCACTTGCGTGTCCGCACCTGTGACCAAACCACCGCAGGTGCGGTGACACCATATTTCAGCAGTTTCCAACATTACCTCAAATCCAAATTTCAATCTGTTTCAAACCCAAGGCCCCCAGGACCCCATCCAAAC